TATTAGGTAATGTTGGAGGATCCAATTTAACTCTTTTGCGCATTCCAGCATAACAGTAACGTGAATTGCCTCGTGTGCCCAGTCTACGTGGTCGAACTCTTGGATATACTTGCTTCATAACTTTACCAAAATCAGCAGTTGATAAAGGTTTCATAGAATTCCGCATACAATACATACTGTGAGCAAATTAAAAACAAATATAAAATAACAAAATATGCTTTTAATTTATTATTTCATGCAATACTAATACTATATCAGTTTCATTAACTTAATGATATCAGTATTCATAAAGTAACTTTTAAAATATACTGAATTTAAACATCTTACTTATATTCATCATAGACTTCTTGTTTTGGTAAAGAAACATCTGGATCTTCTTCTAAATGTGTTTTAATCCACATAATAGTTTGATGAATTTCATAACGATTTCCTAACGGATTTAATGGTTGTCTCAAAGGATCAACAGTTCCTCCAGTATTAGTCAATGATAATGGAAGTTTCAGGTACAACAATAATTTTTCTTCTATTTTCAGTTGTTCGATTTGTGAAAAGATTTCTTGAATGCGTACTTTTGATTCTTCACTGCACATAAAAATTAATAAAATTATTGTGTATGATGCTTCACATATATTTTATAAAATATGTATTCTTTCAAATGATAATTAAATAAAAACATATTTAAAGCTTTTGAAGAATTAGCATAAATCATAAAAAATTGTACTATATAATCAATAAATAAAATTAGTGTACATAACAATAATATAAATAAAGTACCTTATTTAAGTTTATTCTTTATTCTTAATATATTTAATTAAAGAAGTTTTATTTATAAATTTTTTAAATTTATTTACTAAAATTCCTTTTTTATTTATTTCAAAGAATATTTTACATATTCTATTTCATATATAAATTATAAAATTACATATTTGTTCTAGTTGGCTATTAATGAATTTATATGTTTGTTTTATGATAGAATCTTTAATTTTTTAGTATTATCATAGCATGAATTTAAACTAATTTTAAAATATATTTCTATGTCAACTTATTTCATTATTTCAAAAATATGTAGACTTGAGAATAGTTTGAATTATAAATTTCAAACAGAATCAATACTTCTATTACTTTAAGTCATTTGATTTCCATAAAAATTATTACTACAAATGATACTGTAGAGTGAGACTACACAATTTTGTTATAACATACATTATTACTTAAAAAAGGAAATAATATAATCTGTTTTAAAAAAATTCTATTGAGATGCATTTTATGTATCAAATTAAAATAAAAATATTTAATTTAGTTTGTTCTTCCTAGTTTAAAATGTGCGTGTGTGTGTAATCACTTGTGTGTTATACATTCATAATTATTCTTGTATTGCATAAAAATGTGTTTAAAACAAGTTTAATCTTATAATAATAATTTTTATACATGAAAAATACACTTTTCATTTGATACACATTTTGAAACATGTATGTGTTAATACAATATATAAATAAATTAAATTTCACAATTTCAAATTAAGTAAATCTAAGACTAAAGAAACATATAAGAAATTAGAAGAAAAATGTAATTGGTAGATTAATCTAATTTATTTATTAAATTCCAAAGTATACGAAACAATTAATATGTATAACATTAAAAATTCAATTTAATAATTTAAGCATTTATAGTAATTTTTTTTAATGCCAAGTTTCTTTCTTCAATAACAATAAATAATAATAAATTAACATAAATATTATAATAATAAACTAATTCTAAATGTAACTTATAATATAAACTTTCAAATAATTTAATAACAAATTGTAAATTTGAAAAGAAAATTTTTCAAATATAGAAAAGTAAAAGCAAAGCACGAGAATAAAAAGAAAAGAAAAAAGTAGATAGGTGGGGAGAAAACGAATGAGTGAAAAAGCACGGGAATGAGAGAGTAAGAAAAAGAAGGAGAAAGAAGTATAAGAGAATAAGAGAAAAGGAAACAAGAAGAAAAGAGAAAGAGAGAACAATTGAATTAACCTGATGCTATCTTCGATCATGAGCCGAATTTTGTCGTACTTGGTGGTTGTGCCATGATTTGCCAAGGCCGTGAACTTGGCCGCAATGATATCTTGAAGTAGGTCGTCGTCGTGGAAGCCGTTTGAAAATCTGCCGGCAGCCGGTCGCTGACTCGACTGTAGTTGCTTGTTAGTATCATTAATGCCGGCATTGATGCTACCGTCACCATTCTCGAGGGAAACGTCAGTTCGTTCCTTCTTAATTCGCCTGCCGTCGAACGCGCTTTCGTCGGCATTAAGCTCGATTCTTGCGGGTGGTTTGCTGACGCAGGGCTTCGTTTGATCATGGTTATCAGTACTCATCGTACCCCGTCAGCGGAGGCGCTTCGATTATGTGTGTAAAAATTTATCACCTCCCGTAGGACGACGCGAGTACCCTACCATTTTGTCAGAGTCAGCTGGACTACTTGTTAGCATTGCACTCCCGGTGATTATACATGAGCGCCATTTGAGACCCTCCACTCGCGCGGACCGACAAATCGCCGAAGCGCATACAATATGAGAATAACCACGAATCCGTCATACCGATCTCACGCGCAACATTTTACCCATGCCTTTTGGCATAGTTCATTTTGGCGGAATGCACTTATGCGCAACCCATGACGAACTTAAATTCCAGGATTAGTGGACGGTCTACCAGGCACGGAATCCGAGCACTTTGCGCGTTCTTCAATCGTCATAGATCTTGCGCTTTGTCTTATGGGTACATCACTTCATGTCGCTTTCTCCTATATGATAAGACGCGTTTCCATTAAATTTATACTTTCTTTGAAAAAGCCAATAATCATTGGTAACTTTTATTTTTAACAAAATTTATCAAACTAGACTGAATTTACATTTTTTATTTATATACATACATAAATATTTTATATATTTTATTAATACAAATTTCTATAATTTTTTTTATAGAAAATGAAACAACATTTTTTTTAGTAATTATAAAAAAATATAAATTTCGTTCGTTGCAATGCTGCCCAACTTAATTCGACAATATCATATTTCTTATTGGATAACCATTGGTTTTATGTACTATAATTATAGAAGAATTAAATAGAATAATATGATTGGTTAGACAATATATTTAGTAATTAAAAAACGCAAATTTTATTTAAGCAATGAACGTAATTTTTTATTAAATTACATTAAATTGAATTGTAAATTCAATAAAATGGAATACAAACTTAAATATCTGTTATAAGTACTTCTATGTTACTGTAAAATTATGTACAAAAGATAAGATTAGTTATAAAAATTTAGTTAAAAAACAAAAAATAATGTAATATTAATAATAATTTTGAATAAATTATTTTTTACTACAGCCAATTCTAGTACCACTTCTGCTGAATATCGTGGCAACATTGCTTATATGAAAATCAAGAGTTTTATTTTCTATAGTGGTATTTTATATTTGAGATGATAGTATTTTTTTTATAAAAAATCATGCTAATATGCACAATTTATATCAATTATATACACCATTTTTATTGAATTATATATAAATAATACATAAATACACCTACAATAAATAAAAGTAGTATAGAAATATACTAATAATTAAAAATGTATTTATTTTATGGACTCGGATTTATATTTTAAATATTTACAATGTTTTTAAGAAAATATAAGCGTTGAAATTGAAAAATTTTTAAATTGATAAGAAGAATATATATGTATATTTCAGGTTAACAAAACTTAAAATAGACAGAAGTATTAATATGAAGTTAAAGAGGTTAAATGAATATGTGAGAAAAAGGTTAGAATAATTAGTTACTTAGAAAGCTATTTATTAAAGAAGAATTACGTAGTCAATTACAAAATAATGTTATAGAACAATATTATAATTGTATGAATAGAACTTTTTGTATTAGTTACTTATATATATTAATTTACGTAAAATTTGTTTATAATTTTCAAATTATAAAATTTGAGATCCCAAATTAACTTCATTTATGGAAGTACAGTATTTACCCTCAAAAAATTATATGTAAAGCAAAATTATTAAAAAATTCTATGTATAATAAATATGACCTTACAATTACAAAAATTTATGTATGATAATTGTAATGGTTTATATATAGTAGATTTATACATTATAATATTAATACTAACAGTAGAATATTATTAATATTAACTTGAAATGTGTTGAAAGTACTATAGATTCTATTAAATAAATGTGTTATTAAACACAAAAATAAAGATCTACAGAGTTAATGTAAATAAATAATACTTATGTATATTATTATACTTATCCATTTTTCTTATACATTAAAGAATTTGAGGTTCTTATATCAACTCTAGGATGCTTAAGATTTGAAAAAGTTTAAGGCCAATTTGAGGGAAGGTTATTTTTTTACACAAAAGAAAATGTTGAAAATGTTATTTTTTTGTTTAATTTATGTTTATTTATATAATAAAGTAATATAAAATATCTAGATATTTCTTATTAAAGAAATAAAATATTAATATAAAATATAATGCACGAAAAACAAAAAGATAGCTGACTTAATAATATTTGTTGTGCAAAACTAACTGTATGCAATATATCTGTTTTATTTATTAGATAAATGTATTTAATTATTGTGATTTTTTACTATGATATATTTCAAAAAATATATAAATATCTGTTATGAACAAAGATAGCTTTACACGTATTTTAAAATTTTTATTACAGATTAATGGTTAATTTTATGTTTACACGGGAGAAAATGCTACTTTCAGAAAAAATAGAACCAATATCTAATTTATTTGTTCGCAGTTACTAAGTATGATAATTTTCTAACATAAAACTAATTTATTGGCTTTCTGTATAAATTCTTGTTTAAAAAAATTATCATTTCGTATACTATATTGACACTCCTTGAAGCACCTATAGAATTGATATAAATGTTTTAAAAATAGGCGGGAAAGTGAGATAGGATAGAGAGAGACATTGTTAACACGTGACAGGGCATTGAAAGTAGGGTTAGGTATGTATGTCGAAGCCGGATTCTTGTATTATTGTTGTTTTTATCTTCAACACAGCTCGTACTAGAGTCGATTATGCTTTTTATATAATTATTTGTATATAATCGAGATATCGAAACAAATAGAAGAAAAATCGTGTCCAATACAAAGTACGAATACCTAACAGTTGTACGTTATAAGTAAAAGTATAATTAGTCAATTATAAAATTATTTGATTGATTTTATTTTAAGTTATTATAATTTTAACTGATTTTAATTTATGATTCTGGATTGTATTTATTTACTACCTTTTAGTTAAAATTATGTTCCTATCCTAACCTTAATTTATCATTAATTGCAAATGTCACTTTTTATTTTATGAATTTTTTTATGTGCTTACCATCAATTACAATGAATATGATAGTCACTTGATTTAATAATTACTCATGATCATTATATCAGTACTCATCGAAATAAAAAATTTTGTTATAAATTCTTTTAAATTAAAAAATTTAATAAGTTATGATTATTGTTTTAAGAAACATAAAATTGTTGTTGACATATAAATGTTTAATTTTAGTGAATGATATTATCCAAAAAAATATTTTATTTGACAATTTTTCATTATATATTATTTAATTAACCTAACATAATTTTTAACCTTTTGCAGATATCATAGTACCACAAAACAATATTAAAGATGTTGAGCATATCACAAAATTCTTATTTACGTCAATTTGGATTAAAACAATATTTAAAACATCATAATTTTCATTCAAAAAGAAATATATCATCTAGTGTTACAAAATATAAGAGAAATGTAATAGAAAGTGATATAAATAAATTTAAAAATGGACAAGTTATTCATGATTTCATAATAGACAGAGTTGAAAAAATAGATGAAGTATATCTAACTGCAGTGCAACTGACTCATTTGATAACTGGAGCACAATATTTACATCTAGCCAGAGATGATAGTAACAATGTATTTTCAGTTGGATTTCGTACAACTCCGAAAGATTCTACAGGTTTACCTCATATTTTAGAACATATTACTCTTTGCGGTAGTGAAAAATATCCATGTCGAGATCCATTCTTCAAAATGTTAAGAAGATCATTAGCAACATTTATGAATGCCATGACAGGACCTGATTATACCATATATCCATTTTCTACACAAAATTTGAAAGATTATCAAAATTTACAATCAGTGTATTTGGATTCTGTGTTTAAACCTAATTTGAGAGAACTTGATTTCAAACAGGAAGGATGGAGATTAGAGCATGCAGATATTAATGATAAAAATTCACCTATAATTTTTAAAGGTGTAGTTTTTAATGAAATGAAAGGTGTCTTTAATGAAAATCAGACAATATTAGCTGAAGAATTTTTAAATCGTATTTTACCTAGTCATACATATTCAGTAATTTCTGGTGGAGATCCTCTTGTTATTCCTACTTTAAAATACATTGATTTACTAAATTTTCATCAAACATATTATCATCCTTCTAACTCTCGATTCTATTCATATGGCAACTTTCCTTTAGAAGATCATTTGAAATTTATTAATGATGAGTATCTGTTTTCAATGAATAAGATTGATACATCAATGTCAGAAGTTCCTTCAGAAAAACGTTGGGACAGACCAAAGACAGAACATATTACATGTAGGCCAGATCCTTTAGCTGCAGATCCTAGTCGACAAGGTAGCATAGCTATTGGCCATTTGTGCAATGATATCACTGATATACAGAAAACTTTTGAAATACACATTTTGTCTCAACTTCTCTTAAAAGGTCCAAATTCAGCATTTTATAAATCTTTAGTAGAATCAAAAGTGGGAACTGCTTTTGGACCAATGACGGGTTTTGATTCTCACTGTAAAGATACTATGTTTGTCGTCAGTTTGCTTGGTGTTAAACCGGAAGATTTTGAGAAAGTAGAAACAATCTTTAATGAAACTGTACAAAAAGTTATCAAAGAAGGTTTTAAACAAGATCATGTTGAAGCTGTATTACAAAATATCGAACTTCAATTAAAACATCAAACTTCCAATTTTGGATTGCAATTACTATTTAATTTAACACCATTATGGAATCACAATGCAGATCTTATACAATCAATGAGAATTAATGAAGCAATTAAAAAATTTAGAGAAGGGATGAAGAACAATCTTAAATATCTTCAAGAATTAGTACAAGCATATCTAATGGATAATAATCATAGATTGACATTGACAATGTTGCCATATGAAAAATATGATCATGAAAAAGCAATTGCTGAACACAAACTATTAGAATCAAAATTAAAACAACTATCTAAAGAAGAATTAGATCAAATTTATGTGGATGGAAAAATTCTAATTGAAGAACAACAAAAACAAGAAGATGTAAATGTGCTACCTACTTTAAAAATAGAAGATATAAAAGAAGATGTTGAACGATACAAGTTGGAGGATATGAAAATAGTTGATGTTCCTTTACAAGTAGCTACTGAACCAACAAATGGTGTTTGTTATTATCGAGGAATACTTAGTACACAAGGATTAGCACAAGAATTAAAACCATTATTACCACTCTTCAATAATATCATCTCAAAAATGGGTACAAAAAATTATGATTATAGAAATTTTGATCAAATGATACGATTAAAAACTGGAGGGTTATATTTTATGGATCATGTTATTGAACATAAAAATAACTTACTACAGTATGAAGAAGGGGTACTAATAGAATCATATTGTTTAGATCATAATACAAATGATATGTGGAAACTATGGTTAGAATTGTTTAATAATGTCACATTATCTGATATTGAAAGATTTACAACACTTGTCAAAATTAATGCTGCGGATTTGATTAATGGAATTGCAAATTTAGGACATACTTATGCCATGAGTAGTGCAGCCAGCTTGGTTTCACCAGTTACTAAATACAAGGAAACTTTATCGGGATTACAATATGTTTCAAGAATGAAAAAAATAGCACAAATGTCAGATTTAAGCCCTGTCTTAAGCCAAATGCAAGAAATATCTGATTATATTCTAAATAAACAACATTTGAGATCAGCAATAAATTTATGTAAAACTAGCAAGAACATAATATTAGAGAGTATTACTGAATTTTATAGTTCATTGAAAGGCACACCTAAAAATACATATACCTTTACGCATGATCAAAATATTGAACTAGGAAATAATGCTATTCATTATGTATTACCATATTCTGTAAATTATACAGCTAAAGCAATTTTTACTGTACCATACACAAATCCAGATTTTGCACCTTTACGGGTACTTTCAAAATTGATCACATCCCTTTATCTACATCCAGAAATTCGAGAAAAAGGTGGAGCTTATGGAGGTGGTGCTATATTATCGTCAGACGGAATTTTCGCATTTTACTCTTATAGAGATCCAAATTCTACTCGTACTTTAGACTTATTTGAAAAAGCTTATGACTTCATTTTGAAGCATCCATTATCGCAAAATGATATTGATGAAGCAAAATTAGGAATATTTCAACATTTTGATGCACCAATTTCTCCAAGTAATCGTGGAATGATTAAATTTAAATACAATTTAACAGATGATAATATTCAAGAACAAAGACTAAGATTGAAAGCTGTAACTAAAGATCAACTTATACTTGTTGCTAATAAATATTTACTACCTGATCAGGAACATATTAGAGTAGGACGAGCATTAATTGGTCCAGTTAATCATGATCTGTTAAATAGACATTCAGAAAATTGGAGGATCCAAAATCAAAAAGAAGAAATTCGAGCAAGAGCAGCTGAATGAATATCTTTTTAAAATAAATATCATTATTTATTAAAATAAGTATTGTTATTTATATATGTGTAATTCTTAAATAAATATAATTATCATAGTTTATGTATTTTTCAGGAAATATTTTGAAATACATTTTATTTATTATATATGTACATATTTAAAATTAAATATGTATGCGCACGCGTCTTAATGTGACGCACGCGCACGCGCTCGCGTATTATACATAAATGCATGTAGTAATTTCAGAATATATTAGACTTGTAATTTGAGGTTAATAAATAAGTTTTATTTATAATTAATATTAGATGGCATGTATAAGTGAACATATAGATCATTTATATTTTTTGGATGCATTAAATTTGTTTGCTGAAACACAGTGGCTTTATAATACTCCAGTTACTGATTTACTGACTGCAGGATTATTTGACTTATTCCCAAGAGAATGGTTGAATGCTTTGGAAATTTTAAAGAATGAAGAACTTAATGATCTTGTTGCAAAAAAAATGACAAAAGTTAATAAATAAATATAATAGTAAAATACATAAATAATTATATACTACAAATATGTCAATATAATATTACAAGTCAATTACTTAATTTTTTTAGCCAGAATGGTCAGAAACTTTAAAATTTTTTGTTGAGAGATGTAAATATATTGATAGATTACCAATTCTAAACACTGTGTTACCAATAATATTACCAAAAAATTTTAAAATAGGCGTTAATTGTAAAAAACAACATGAAATAATGCATTTGGCACATATGGTACATATGCAGTGTACATCACAAAAAATTAAAATTATTGTTGATCTTGGTGCAGGTTTAGTAAGAAATTCATAATTAGATATTATTCATAAAGTATAAAATTTGTATCTCTTTCTTATAATTTATCTATAATGTGTTTTTATTGTAGGGATATGTTTGTCAATTACTGTATTATTTATACGGATATCAAGTTCTTGGATTAGAAAAAAACCAAGCAAATGTAAATAATGCTCGAAATAGACAAGTGAAAATGTATCCTGATTCATTAGCACATGTTAAATATAATTGTTGTGATTTAACATGTAATTCTGTTGAGACAATAGAAACTATTTTATATAATGAATTCAAAGAAAAGTCAGATGTTTGTTTGATTGGTTTACATGCTTGTGGAGATCTTAGTATACATGCATTGAAAATATTTCGAGATATGAAAGCAGCACGTATTTTTATCATGGTTCCATGTTGTTATCATAAGCTTTCAATATCAAAAAGTATAAAAATAAATGCTTCAATCGAAAAACAATATTTTAATAACTTTCCTTTATCAAATTGTCTTAGAACTGTAATTAATAATAACAATTTTGATGTTAGCTCCTTTCTGAGGCAACCCTTTTTACGATTAGCATGTCAAGAACCAACAGACAGATGGTACAATATGTCTACAGAAACTCATGATCAACATTCTTTTTATGTTCTTGCAAGGGCTGTCCTTCAGTTATATGCAACTAAAAGTATGTATCAGGTTTCTGTTATAAGTGACATTTATTTAACATTGGTATAAAATATAAAATGTTTCAGATGGATTTTCTCTTAAAAAACGTACTCGGAAAGGAATAAGAAAATCACAATGTTTAGATTTTAAAACTTATGCAAAGAATTCATTAAATAGATATATTTTACAACCACAAAATGAGGAAAAATTAAAAAAGCAGGGTATTATATAACATAACATACAAAGCATTATATATATTTAAAGTATTCTATTAATTTATATTATATTATAAAAACTTCTTATATTTTTGTAACTTCATTTGTATGTATTATATTACACAAATACATTTCTAGATAATTTAAATTTTGAAAGAAAAATAATTATAATGAATAATATTAAGACATCATATTTTTTTAGATTTACAATTTAATCTTAATACACATGAAAAAAATATAATAGAACTATGGAAAATTCACTGTGATAAACTAAAACTTGTAGAAATATATAGTGGTTTACAACTAATGTTACAAGCACCAGCGGAATCACTTATTTTACAAGATCGATTGTGTTGGTTGGAAGAACAAGGTTTAGGAGCAAAAATTATACCAGTAATGAATAAACGTTTATCCCCACGAGCATATGCAATTGTATCAAAAAAGATAATAAATTTTGTAAATTAATGTTTTTATAAATTGATTTTCATTCAATTATGAATTATGACTAACAAGTATATTATGTATAAATATATATACCTAGTTATTACAAATTTTGCACATATGTATTTTTAGAAAGGAACGAATAATTATATTACTACTTATGTATTAAAAAATAATAAATTAAGGTAGAAATGATCTTTTGAAAAACATGGTAAGATTAACATTTCTGAGATATTTAAAAAAAAAATTTTATATTTTATCTGTATGGGTGAATTTGTGATGCTGCTTTAATATTAGTTTTAATTGCACTTGGTGCTTTACTCATTTGTCCCACTACAAATATACAAAATATGCTTGTTAATGTTATAAATATAAATTTTAATTATATTTTAAAATAATACTGTTATAAAATAAAACAAATTATGATGGATTTGCTTACTAGATGGATTTCCTAAAGACCCTTGGCCTGGAGTTTGTTGTTGATTTCCAGGTCTACCTACCATCATTCCACTAGGTACAGAATTTACACCAGATTGAACCATTTGGACAGAGTCAGACTATAACATAAAAATGCAAAATATAATTATGTTATACATTTATACAGAGTGTCCCAAAAGTTTGGGGCTAAACTTATACTGTATGTTTATGACACTGAGTAAGTAAAAAAGTTTCTTTTATTAGAAGAACTTTTTTAATAATATTTTTTATAATATCTATGTGCTCTAAAAATAATGAATCAGAGTGTATAGAAATATATTCACTTGTCAATTACTGAAGTAAAGTTTGATATAGTATACATGAAATTTAAGGAAATTTGTATCATTATTTTCCTAGTTCCAAATTTATTTAAAAAGTATAAAGATTTAAATTTTGCAATTTTTGCTCATTATCATAATAACAAGCTATATTTATAAATTTTTATCTTAAAAACCATTTGTTCGAGCAATTTAATTTTTTTTCTGTAATCTCTTTATAAGAATTTCTTTAATCACATTTGTCTTTTAATAGTTTAATTACTTCACTAACTTTTACACTACCTTTGAACTGTTTTTCATGTTTACTAATCATATTTTAATATAATATTATATATTTCAGCTTGTAATAATTCAGATGATTTAACTAATACAATTTCAGTTTGTTCACTATTATTTTCCTTATATAATTTTAAATGACAAGTATTACAAACAAACTCTTTTACAGAAACATTTGGAAGTGATCAACACATTTCCAATAATATTTTTCAGATTTTTCACATAACAATTGTTTTCTTTGAGTTAAGGGATTACAATTCCACTAACACATTATGTATGAAAATTTACTCACTTGGTAATTTCCTAATTTTTTAAACAAATTCGAAACTAACAAAATTATTATTTAATTTTATGTATAATATACAATATCATATTTTATTTAAAAAAAAATTGATATCATTAAAAGGTATCAATTTTACTTATATATTTTATTTATAATTTGTTTTATTCAAAATTCAATGTATAATTCAAATTTCTGATATACTTTGTCTTTTCTGGTTTATTATAACTGCACATTATTTTTTAATATGTCAAGATTATCTCGGTTTAGTAAAAAAATTGTTCAAGTTAAGTGAAATTTTTTAACAAATATATATATGTATATATACTTATGCACATAGGTGAAAGATTAAAAACATTAAATTAAAAAGAAATTTACCTTTAAACCTTTACCCATACCTACAGCTGCTACAAGGGCATGAGTGTCTGCTGTACTACTGGTTTGGGCTTGAGTTGCTCTAGACCCAGCTTCACTTTCCCATTCTTCACGTGCCTTATTTGCTATATCCCATACATGATTAATGACTTTTGTATACTGAGCTACTTGTTTCTGAAAATTATAAAATGCACACATATTTAAAAAAGAAAAATAATGTTTAATGTTCCACTCGCTAAATGGACCGACTATGAAACTTTATAGTATTTTTAAACTATTAGAGGAAAATTTAATACTCTCAGAATTGAAATGTTCAAGTTATACATGAATTTATATGTATTATTATAGATAATTATATTTTATACAGTTGTTTAATATTATTAAATTTTTAAATGAATATTAGAGATATAGTTTAATATAAATATACAATATTTTATAAGCAAAAAAGGAATGATTTCCCCTAACAGTTTAATATTAATAGAAAATATATATATTGTAAAACACTATCTATATCCATGTAAATGTAAATAAATTGTAAAATAATTTGTAATTTATAATAGTACTAAAAATATTATTATATTCTAATATAAAGTATATATTATTATAGTTAATTAAATAGAAAATTATAAAATATAAAGCATATTTTTATCTAATGTTCTTAAGATATAAAAATTGTTTTATGTATAATTTGTAATTATTTCAACTTCAGTCCAAAGCGAATGGAACTAGTAAAAGTTGAAAGCTAGCTGATAGTAGCTTACATTGCAGTCCTAGTTGATGTTTAGTTAGCACATTAAAAGAGAAATAGAACATCTTAAATTATCTTTAAGCTTCTACAATATGACAATATAGAAATTCAATTTTATCTGTGTTAAAACATTTTTAACAGTTAACTTTATTATATTTTTTAATTATTATTAAGAAGAAATGACATTTATACAAATATTTTATAATTAATTTTAAAAAAGATGAAATATATAAATAAAAATTATTTTTCTTACATGCGATGTCTCATAATTTAAATTTGCAGCTTTTGCTTCAAGCTGCATCATTTTTTGCTCAGCTTGAGGCTCTACTTTGGTTCGTAGATAGTCTGGTACTAAATCATGAGCAAATGTGGGAATTCTACCTTCAGTTAAACGAAGCAATTCTTCATCTTTTTCTGGACTTAATCTTAATGGTAAAACTGTTAAGTTTCTTAAGTTTGGTGCTTTATCATGTCCAAGAATTTTCGAAAGACTAGTCAACTGTAATCAAATTTTATTTAAATTAAATTACTTATTCCAATGTAGAAATTTAACAGATTCAATTAAATAAAATTGTCTTTATTTAAAGATTATAACAAAATTATTATAAGATTATCTTTTATTTATATATTTATTTTAGTAACCAATATTAGTTTCATTAATAGAAACATTTGTATATATTTTATGCATTACTTACATGTCCCGAAATAAGTGCAAAATTATCAAGGAAATTAGGCCAATTCAATGTTTCATATTCATGTTCTAATTTAAATATCATAGCAGCAATTGCAGTCTTTAAATCATTTACTCTCATAATTATAGCCTCCAAAGCAGAATCCAATTGTTTTTCTTCTCTTTGCATTTTAAACTTTGTTAAAATAAAAATAAAAGTGTACTGTAATATTTTTATACTTTATTATTTGTTATTATTAACGCGATTCATGAAAATTAAGTAAAAACAATGTTAAATATATGTTCATCTGATTGATAATAATATACTTACTATTAAATTTATAGTAACGTAATGAAATTTGTAATTTTGGATTGTTATATATATATATGATTATATCATTTTATTAAAATTAATTTTTGCAGTAAAACGTAAACACTCATATGTTATGGTTACAATTTAGACATAAAATAAATATATGTAGATACTCTAGAATAAAATTTTATGAAGGTTGGTAATAATGCATTGATGCAATGATTGGTAAATCCGTTTCATTTGATCTCTGAAACGTTTCTCAAAATGTAAGATTTTACTGAAAAAAAACATGCTTAATAATTTTTTTTTATTTTTAAATCCAAGTTGGTCGTATGAAATTTGTGTATTTAGTAGTAAAGTTGTGTATATCTCATAATAAAAATCTTTTGCTTTCAAAGCATATATCAAAATATGTATATAATGTTACTTATTTATAAAATATGTTAATTTTTCTAATTTTTAGAAACATATCAAAAGTATTATACATTTAAAATAAATTTTTGTAAAATTGTAATATTACTCATTTATTTATATTTAAATATTTAATATATTTGTAAATAAATTGTCAAAAAATTATATATATAGATTTTTATATTAATATCAATATGTAAAATTATATTCTAATATTACAATATTGACAAAAGAAAGTATACAAATATTATAATTATACACAAACGTTATAATTGTAATAATAATTATATTTATAATTGTGCTTTACCAACTTTTTATTATTATAATACAATTAAAGTATTATTTATTTTTTACTACAATAAGTTTTACAAAAAATAATTATAATTTTTCAGTATATTCTTATTATTTTCGGAAATAATTACTAAAATAATTTTAATTGCTAGAATTTGTTATTTGTTGTTTTTTAAATATTAACCAGGTAATTGGTGCAATTATCCTCCAATCAAGATTTTTAAACAGTATTTCAGATGCTGTATTGCCTTTAACAATAAATAATACTGTTGAAATTCCTTGCTCTCCAAATTTCTTTGCAAGTGCATTTATAACAACTTTTGCATAACTTTTTCTTCTATATTTTTCCAGTGTTTGTACCATTCCTAATCCATGCCAATCATTTTGCATGGCCCAAGAAACTAAAGAATCATCTTTTTTTAAATATAATCCTAATCCACCATTAAATTCTACAAGTGTACTTAAATATTTTAAGGATAATTCAGGGTATTCTAGATCTCTATGTGGCCATACTGAATGTATTAATGGAACATCTGATTTATTTAAAGTTTTCATATAACACTCATCTGGTATCCTAAAGAATAGAAAAAGAAATTACCATGCATTCAATGTAGATATATTTAGTGTAAATTAATAAATATATCTTTTATGATACTTCATAAATATTAACAAATTCCATGTTACTTGAACCATTTGTCATCTATTGGGTAATATTGTTTCTTAATTTATTGAAGTAAAATATATGTAAGAGAACATCAAGTTGTTAAAAATTCTGCACAAATATTTCTTGTAAAATAAATATTCTAATGTAATTATTTTACTTAGATTAAACATGGAATATATTGATATAATATAATAATAAATATAAATAATACCGATTTTCTATTTTTACACAATCTTCAGCAGACTTAAAATAAAAATTAAATGACAATATTAGTTTTGTTTCTACATTTTTTAAATGCTTGAGATTTTTTGTTGCAGAAAGTACATTAGATGCAAAAGATTCATGGACTGCAGGAAAATTTACTTGTTGATTGTAATCTATTACATTAGTTTCTGTTAATACTTTGTTTATGATTTCCTTGTTGGGATCCAGTGTAAATATTATCACATTATATATTGCAAACTAAACATAATTGCATATTAGGCATAATATCTTTTGTAATTCTTTTTTGAGACTTATATACAATACCTACATTGCTAATTCCAATAAAAGTTCCTTGTTCATAATTTCCATGTGGGCAATAAATTTGAATAGATATATTAGGATCTTTTTTTTTCCATTTAATAGCATTTTCAATCCAGTAATAATACTATAAGAAGAATCTCTTTTTATTGATTAATATATTTATTTAATTTATGTATTTTTAATATGATAAAAATTCTATTTTTTTTATTTTTATTATTAAAAAATTAAGTTTTAAAATGAAAATTATTTATATATTTTTAAATTTACATAAAAAGTTATTGTTGTAGAAGTATATTCAGTTTTACTTTAATTTGTAATTGTTAGTATCAATTTATTTATTATTAATTAAAACTTACATATGCAAAAATTGGCCAGTTATACTTTGTTTTATTTTGGAGGTGAGACCAATTTTCAAATGGTAAAGGTTGTAAAATGTCCATATTAGAAATTTTCGATACGATATAATTAAAAATTTCTAATTATAATATAAATATATTCATATAGTTTAGTCTATAATTCAGTATTTACGAGAGTCAGCTTTTTCTTGTAGCCCTCTAATGGCGAATTTCAGAGATATTACACGTATTTGATTTTATAAGTATCGATAGTCTTCATTAGTATTTTTTATGGTTACAAATTACAGCTGATTGGTGTTTGGCATTCTGGTATTCTTCTGTCTCTTTTCACACAGTGTATGTTACTGACATTTCTGTGTTCAGATTTAGTTTTGATATGTCTACTATTACTTATTACAACTTTTTCTGGATATATCCTAGTGTTTTCTTTTAGTTCATAAAATAAAATGTCGAAAATGAGTTCAAAAGATAAAGATAATAAAACATTACATGATAAATTGAAACAATTCTTTCGTATTAACAAAGGTGATTTATATATTTAATTTTTATGATTTATTGTTATATTACTAATATATTTTTATATGAAATAATGAATATGCTTATAATGATCACTAGATTGAGAATATTTATACAAATACATATTTTTATAGGAAATATGTAAAATTATAAAATCTAGACAGAAATTTGTTTTGTCATTAGAAAATTTTAAATATATTGATTTCATTTTGCATATTTTACATATTAGGTATGTTTTGCATAAGTGTATATCTTTTGTATAAATATATAACTTATTAAGAATATAAAAAATATATCGAGGACTTGTGAATAAAAGGTTAAGCACGAATGTCATTCTTATAAACATTAACATATATATAAATATTTTAGGCACACATTTCATTTCTTTTAAGTTACTGTAGTGTAGCTTAAGCAATAAATAATTTTAATATATGGTTTAAAATTAATGATATTTCAAAAGGTATAAATGTTGAAGAGAGACAAGAAATTTCTATATAGTATTGGTAAAAATTTAAACATATTTCAATAGTTTTATATGGTATAAAAGGTTGTCTTGTATGTATCATGTGTATATTTTGCATGTATCTGACATATTTCCATAGTATATTTACATATAGATCCATTATTTAATGATCATAAGCTTTTATCTTTTTATATTATTATATAAGCTTTTACTTTATTGTGTATAATATAATTGGACTTATAATTTATAAATTACAATTTACAGATTATTTATAAAACAATGCATTCATATATTTTTAAAATAAATTAATAGCAAACTTCATTTTAGGGAATTATAAAAGTCGTGAAGATTTTACATTAACTCATGATCTTGAGAAAGAAATTAGTCCTGAAAGTCCTGTACATCATCGTACAAAAGCAATTAAAGATCTGTGTGATTCAGTTCTTAATCAGCAATGGGAAGATGTAAATAGATCGTTTATAATAATAAATTTGTTAATGATATAAATGTGTCTAGGGTTTTTATAATTTTTTTATTTTTTATTAGAAAGCAGCTGAAAGATTATGGTATTTAGTACAAGACCTTTTGGAAAAAGATGTGCCACGTGAACATAGACACGTGACATTCAATTTTCTGCGATGTCTTGTTCAAGGTCAATATTCTAAATTATCTTCTCTTATGAGAGTAAAGTTCTTTATGGTTGTTAAGGAGCACGATATTCCTGAAGATATTGGACCTAGGTATAGTAATTATTACAATGTAATAATTAAGAATAATGCTCTACTATAAATATTTTAATTGAATTATAAACTATACAGATTAGAACTTTTACAAAGCTTAACAGAAAATGGAAAAGATATATTACATTTAGAGGAAAGAATGGGACCTTTCTTACTAGATTGGATGCCCATTGTAACAGCAGGAGATGGAAAAAGGGGGGCTGAGTTTTTATCACTACTTGTTAATGTCATAAAATTTAATTCTGCATATATTGATGAAGATATTATATCAGGCCTTGTTCAGTAAATATCTTATAATTGAATATAATGAAATTAGTAATTATGGTAGTAAACATAATATTTTACTCTTTATTTTTTTAGGTATATTTGCCATCTATGTTATTATAGTAATAGCAGTGAAGTTGTTTCTGGATGTTTAGAAGCTCTGGATGCAATTGTTTGTTATAGTAATTTACAGTCTGATTCATTACAAACTTTTATCATAGCATTATGTGGAAGTGTTAACGTTGAGACATACTGTCAAATAAGTTGGAAGGTACATTATAAAATTTTATAATTATATTATATAGTATTAATCTGAATTAAAATAAAAATTTAGAAAATTTCAAGTTTAAATATGTACGATTTTTTGTAGATAATGCGTAATTTATTAGGTACACATATGGGTCATTCTGCACTATATACAATGTGTCGTTTGCTACAAGATACAAATTTTCAGAGAGACGTTCGTTTACTCAGAGGTGCAGTATTTTACGTAAACATGGGTCTTTGGGGAACTCATAGAATTCCAAAACTAGAATGTACCCCTACATCTGTTTTACCCTCATTCTATCAAGTAATAGCAATTTAGTATAATGTAGTATTTAGACTAATTTAGTGAAAAATGTTATTTATTATTTTATTATTTCTCAAGGCCTTAAAATGTAATCATCCAATTGTAATGTATGAAGTCACATTATCGATTCAAAGATTAGTAAATAAATATGGTGCAGAGTTATGGGATCCAACATGGAGCATCATTCTTGACATTATTGAAGAAGTTATTTATCATACAGGTAAAATTTATTGATGCAACTTTTAATGTAATTATTTTATTTTTATTAATATTGTATTCTTTTGTTAGAAACTAGTAATCAACTTGCAACTAAACAAGTTTCAGTAAGTTTACACGAAACAATAAATAGCATCGAAAATTTACTGGATAGTAACCATTATAATGGTTGTGTCCAACGATTTTATGATCTTGTGGAACGTTGTAGTGATACAAGACCTGTAATTATCTGATTTGTAATATAAATATAAAATTACACATTTCTTTTTACAAAGATATAAAATTTAATATTTTTTAGGAAGGTTCTGTTTTGAAATTAATCGAGTACCGTGCACGTACTATAGGACCTACAAATTATCAGTGGCAATCTAAATTAGTGAATTTGATGGAACGTTATTACAAAATTGAAATACGTACTAATGTTAGAATGAAAGTTCTTGATGTTTTAACAAATGTTGTCCAAATTAATAGGTATGTTACATTTTTTAATATTAGGTAAATTTTTTAATTGTCTTTTTTTTAACAGATCTAGATATGAAGATGAATTAATTGAGAGAATAATTGTGCCATATTTTCAACATGTCGATATGGATTCTGATATTACAATTCGTAATGGTGTTGCACATTTACTTGTTGACCTTTGTCTTGAATGTGATACAAAAAGATGTTTAGAACTTTTAGATATATTAGAAAAGGTACCCAAATTTTTAGATATTTATTTAGATAAAATTTATTATCTTTGAAATAATATTTCTATTATCACAATTATAAATAAATATATGTTAAGGTAATCAATAAACCCTTCACTTGTGACGCTCCAGTTACGAACGATGTCGACATTAAAGATGTAAAGACTGCAGTTGTTGGCGTGATAAAAATATTAACATCAAAAATTTATTATTTACCTTCAAGTCATGCCATACGTGCATATAAAGTTTTAGTGAATCATCTAGAACAACATTATAAAGAACCAACTGTCTTCCACGATATTTCTACAATTCGATACTTGGTAATGAAAACACAAAATAATGTTGAATATTTAAAATTTTATATTTTTCAATAGTAGTGTATTTCAGTACATATTATCTTATTATTTAATTATCCCGCATTTTAGATTTTTGAATGTTTCTTAAAAATTAGGGCAAATACGCTTTATCATCTTGGATTTCCGGATGCTCAAAACTCATCCATGATAAAGTTCAGTCCATATTTAGTTTTAGAACATGCAACAACTGAACGAATGAATAGTGGAGGTGGTAATAGCCCTCCACCAGTCAGTCCAGCTCCATTACAGCATTTATCTTGTCAAATTACATATATGTCACTGGCACATGCATGTAAAGCTGTTATTTCCTGTATTAAATCAGAAAAAGGTTTATATTATATATACATTTTAAATTAATCTGTGTTTATAAGTGAAACATAGACATTAAAATTTTAATTTATCTGTTTTTAGATTGGAAAGTTTTGCAACTTGTATTAAAAGAATTACCTCAAGTTATGCAAAATAGAGCATTAATATTATCACGACATACAAATGATATTGTCTATTTTGCAGCTGCACTTTGTTCAATGGTATATCCCATCTTATTTTGTTTTTTCTTTTTAAATATTCTTTACTTTACTTTACTTTAAATATCTGATTTATTTTAATTTTTTTATAGGTCAGTGACAAAAGTTTGAGACTTCCAGAGTCTCTCTACAATGTTCCTCCAAAATTTACTCTTTCAGAATTTCGTGTTCATGTTTTTCCAGTATTAGCTTCATTAGCCTCATATCATGCACATTTGGAACCTAATTTACAACAGCGTTTAATAAAATGTTTGGAGGTAAAAGATAAAATTTATTTTTTTTAAATTGCATTACTAATATAGCATTTATATCTAAGTAAATACAAAATTTAAAAAATTTTGTTGATTTAACATTTTAGGTCGGTTTAACTGCAAAATGTGCAAGTCAGTGTGTTACTAGTCTTACAACTTGTATTTTAGAAATGCGTGATGCAATGAACAAACTTTTATCTGAAGTACTTTTAAATTTATCAAAAATTTCAGCAACAGTTCATATAGCTATACCAATTTTGGAATTTTTATCTAGTAAGTATTATAGAACCTGTGTAGCCATTGATTTCTGAAACATATATATTTATTGTTTTATTACAGCTCTTACTAGACTTCCAAAAGTTTTTGCAAGTTTTATTGGAGATCAATACATGTCAGTTTTTGCAATTTTGTTACCATATACAAATCCTTTTAAATATGATCATTATACAGTATCTTTAGCACATCATGTAATTGCTGTATGGTTTTTGAAGTGTAGACTACCTTTTCGAAGAGATTTTGTTAAATTTATTACTACAGTATGTACATTAATCTCTTATAAATATAATAATATTGTTAATAATAAAAGTATCATTACGTTTAATACATAGGGTTTAAAGGCTAATGTAATAGTACCTTTTGAAGAAGGACATTTAATGAAATCAGATTTTAATTTCATAAACGAAGATTCTTCCAATAGGAAACGTAGTTCAAGTTTGACAGAACAGGTATAAAAAAAGTAATAAAATTATATTACGTTTATTATCCATTGTTTTTTATCCACTATATTTTTATTTTTAGGGCAGCAGAGGTAGACGAGAAAGACCAATAATGCCCAATCGTATGATAGGAGATAGTAAAGCTTCAGATTTAAAGCCACCAATTGATGAAGCTTTAATGACTTTTCATGTTGAGCTTACTGAAACTTGTATTGACCTCATGGCTCGCTATACATTTTCAACTTATTCAGCACGACCTAAAAGGTAACTTTACAATTTTTGTATATTTTAGTAGTTATAGAAGATATAAATTTTATTTATTAATTATTTAGATTGCCAGCTGCTGATTTTTTACTTAAAGAAGGCCAATCAATGACATGGTTGCTTGGTAATAAACTTATTACTGTAACAACAAGTGGTTGCAGTAATAAAGCAATGCGAAGTGGACTTTGTGATAACTGTTGGCTTGCATGTAAACCTGGTCTTCAATCTCCTGAACATTTAAAAGCATCTCAATCAAATTTAAGACGAGCATCAAGTACAGAGGTGGTTAATATACATTACTAATATCATTTATATAATTATTTTTTTATTAATTTCAAAGTATTCTAAAATATATGATTATAGACAGCAAAAGAGGACAAATTGTCTAAGCAATCTTCTGGTGGTCATGGAAGCTCTACAGTAAATACTGCTGCGAATTCTCCTACAGAAGAGACAAAGAAAACATCAGAAGACTTAGATACAACAAAAAAAGATCATGCTTCAGAAAAAATGGATAAAGATCAAATAGAATCCTCAAAATTAGAACAAATACTTAATAGTGAAAAACAAGAAGAACACGTTCTTTGTGCTTGCTGGTGCCAGGGCTGGGCTGAAATATATATGCGTAGACCTACGGGTGATATGTCTTGGATAATGAGGATTCAAAATTCTATGCAATTTGAAACAAATGTAGATTTTCCTGTGTATGATATAATGGCTTTATATAGACCAAATCAAGATTTAATACAAAAACAGCAAGAATGTACATCAGAATGTTCTGGAGATGAAGCAGAGGTAAATCAAAAATATCTTATTCGAACATTATATTGAAAAATGTACACAAATTTTTTATAGGACACTGCAGATAAAAACATGGATCATGTACGAGGTGATCACGATATTAAACCTGTGATATCTTCCGTATCATCAGGTCCAATTGCTATACCCAGTTCACCGGCTCGGCCAAGCCCTTCAAGACAAAGTTCACGTGATAGTTTAGAGAGTTTAGAAGATGGTGAAGATGGTACATTTAAGTAGTATCATATTTTAAATATTGTAATAAATAGTTGTATATCAAAATGTAAAAATTGTTGATAGATTTACGACGTTCTCGAAATCCTGTACGCAGATCAAATTCTAGTCCTGAAATGAGTGCTAACTGGAAAAATCCATTTTTAAATAAAGAAAAAATAAATTTGCAGCAAGTAGATCGGGATCTTCCAGTTACAGATATAGAAGTTAAACTTGATGCTGAATTAAAAAAACATGCAAAAACTACTTATGCAAAAGATATGAGGTATTTCAATTACATATTTTAACAAGATAATAACAATATTTGAGGTTAAATGTTATTAAGTTTTAATCAGATGAAATTTACAATAATTACATGTTCACAGATTAAAATGTAATTCTTACACTACATTACTGTTTAAGACATTATACCATGTACACATCAGTTATAATATAACATTTATAGATGTGTACTTTTGTAAACTTTATAAATATATTAATAAAAGTATAATGTTTTTGCAGAGTTAGTTGTGAAGCTATACCAGAAGAAATGTTTGGCATGGGTACAACCCCGCCATCAGAAAATGTGTCAGATCATCCAACTGCATTACGATCTCAACGTTCTTATCCAGGCGCGACACAAGTGACTCAAATTATTACAACTACTACTAGCAATACTGTTCCTCCATCACCTACTACCATACAGGCAAAATATTTTAATATAATAAAGTTTATAATATGTTTTAATAGCATATTATAAAAACCTTTTATATACTTTACAGGTTCAAGGAAACTTTTTGGGAGTACAAGGACGTGCAATACAAATTCAGTCATCTACTGCAAAACCTCCACAATCACCTACACAAATTTATCCTCGATTATCTAGCCTTGATTCTGGTCAAAAACAAATACCATTAGGATCAGATAGTAAACCACCTATTGGGCGTAATCATCTACCAGACAAGGTATTGCAGATGGCACTTTTTATATTTTTATTTTAATGAAAAATATATACATACATATAATTTTTAGCAGAAAGATGAAAAACCTGATCCTTCTATGTTACCTCCTTTGCCTTTACCTTTTCGTGATAGGGGACATACAATTTCTGTAATGAGCCCAGTAAAAAAATCTCGTGGAGAATGGGATAATATTCGTCGAGGAAATTCGCCACGAGTGAAAGAAACCCCTAAAACTGGTACCAATCCCAGGTAATGTAACAATACTTCTAAATTAAAATATTTAGTAATTATTTCTATTCAAATATAAAATTTATATTTAAATTATAAATTACAGTTTTGTGTTTTTGCAACTGTATCATAGAGCACATTTTGGTTCATCTTCAGAAAAACCTTTATTGGTTCCACAGACAACGGCTGTACAAAGGGCAGTAACAAATTTAGATAGAATACAACCATATGAAACTCATAAAATTGGGGTGCTTTATGTTGGTCCAGGGCAAACTTCTAATGAAACTGAAATTTTAGCTAATCAACATGGATCACTTCGATATACAGAATTTCTACAACGATTAGGAACGTTAGTTCGATTGAAGGATGTTGATGAAAGTGTATTCTTAGGAGGTTTAGATCGCAATGGTGAAAATGGAAACTTTGCATATATTTGGCAAGATGATGTTACACAGGTTAAAATGAATTATTAAAATTTTTGTTATTTTTGTTAATGATACACTTTTATAAAATTTTATTAGGTAGCATTTCATGTTGCTACATTGATGCCAACAAAGCCAAGTGATCCAAAATGCACATCTAAAAAGCAACATATTGGAAATAATTATGTTACTGTTGTTTATAATGAATCTGGAGAGCCATATAACATACAAACTGTAAAAGTATGTATTATTATAATTCATTTTATTTATTACTTTACTATGATTATTAATTATATTACTACAAAATATGATTACATAGTACTAATATGTGTTTTGTTCTTTTAGGGACAATTTAATTATGCATGTGTTGTGATTCAGCCCCTAGATCATGGTACTAATCAAGTTACAGTCCAAGTAAAAGAAGAATTGGCCAAGCATATTCGGCATAGTGAACCAAAAATTATTTCTGATCAAAATTTAGCTATTTTATCTCGACAACTAGCTCTTCATGCTAATGTAAGTTAAAAATAAACTTATTATATTATTATTAAATTAAGATTGATTTAATACTGTATTTGTTTCATTGTTCAAACTGTAATTTACTTCAAATATTATTTAAATCTAAATTCTATTATAATGAAATTTATAACTTTCCTTTTTTGTGTTACAGCTTGCATCAATGGTTTCATCATCATTAGAACAAAATAGTCACAATCCATATGCTTCTAATTGGTTAGAACGTTTACGACATATTAAACGACTTAGGAATCGTGTGTTGCAAGAATCAAATAACAATAATCCAGATGGAACAACTGATGATTTATCACCAAGGTCAAACAAGCGTATTTATATGGATGATTTTACTGAATATACGACATAATTTTAATCCAATAAAAAAATTATTTAATGTCACTAGTATGGTTCATATTTGTTATAAACATATGTATATATTGATGTAATAATTAAATATTTTTTCTGTAAACTACGAAGAAAATAATTATCTTAGGTATACAATTTTTTTCCACATTAAATTTTAAATTCAAATTTCAATTGATTTATTAATATAAATGTTTAATGTAAAGAATAACAAGACGCTTGTGTATTATTATTTTAATACTTGATATGAAATAATTAATTGTATTTTATTTTTTAAAACTGTAAATAAATAATTCAATAAAATTAGTTTTAAATAAATCAATATAAAAAATATACGATTTTTGAGCACATACATATATTAATAATAATAAATTTTATATTTATGAAGAATAAAAATTTTCACTTAATGTTAGAAATGTTTATTTGATACTGATTGGTAGAAATCTGTTTTAAAGGTAACATTTTATCTAGTAAGTTGGTAATAGAAATAGCGCTTAACCACAAAGAAGTTCATGTGAGAACTACGTACAAAATCGTTGGCAGATATAAGCGCCTCTACCTACATAATTAAGAAACTCACGGGTCGATATTCCGTACATCAACATATTCTTGTTGAGTGCTGTCAGTTTCCTTTGGTCCTGTCAGCTGGTGTAGAAGGGGAGAGTGGAACGATAAAAATGGTAAATATATTTTAAATTACAAAAATTATAATTCTTTGAATATGTGTTATATTTTTTTGGCAATGATAATTTCTTAATTTTCTTAGTCGTTCGCCGAGAAAATATCATCGATTATGCAAAGACCAGGACAGGACCCTGTTGCCAAGGACGATGTATCTTGGTGGATGAAGTATGCTGGTCGAGGACTTGGTACCGTGGGTAGTCTAAGTATGTTTCCAAACATAACGTGTAATGTAAGGTGTACATTATAGAATTAATTTACTATCACTACTCTTTTTATCAGCACACTTATATTTTTCAAAATTTACACAATAAAAGATGTATATAATAATTAATGTTTTGTATATACACACATAGTGTTAAATGCAATGTACATTTATGGTTCGTGATTTTTCTTTATTCATAACTATTTAGATAGTACTTAAATACCTTAAATCAGTCATTATTATCACTATATGTGTTTGTGTTTCTTTTTTTCTTTGTTTACAATAAATGTTGTAAAAATATATGATATTTATAATTTATAATTTACATAATCTATGAATATTTAATCATTTTTTATTGACTTGTTACAGTTGCAATTTTTCTTGGAGCATGGAATTGTGCATCAATATTATGGGGTTCTATAGATTGCCTGATTAGCGGTATGTGGCAAATGGTAGCTGGTTTTATAGTTGTAACAATAGAAGCACCATGTTGCTGTCTATTTATTGATTTTGTACAAAACTTAAGTAATTGGGTGGAAAACAGACCATATTGGAATAGAGCAGTTGGATATTGTTTGTAAGTAAACTATGTTTTTGATGGGATATTTAAATTATAATATTCTATCTTTTTTCTTTCTTTTAATGTTAATTTGTATCACTAATATTTAGAAATGATGTTCCTTGTTTCTAATATTTTTAGAATAGCACTTCCTCCAGTCTTCCTTTGTACAGGAATGAGTAGCCTATTTGGCAGTGGTCTAATATTTGCAACAGGTGTAATATATGGACTAATGTCACTTGGACGGAAGTAAGTCATATTTGTTTCATTTATAGTCTTTTACTATAAATTATTAACATTGAAATAATATAGGTCATTGAAAATATATTTTCATAGCTATAAATAACTTATACTAATAAGTATATTGCTTTCATTTGATTTCAAGTAATCAATACAAATTTTTATGCAATTATTTTGTTTTGTAATTTTTTTTAACTAGGGAAACAAACCATGTGGTGTATTGTTATAGCAACATGTGCACATGTTATTTGCTCCTGGGTGGAAGACTAATTTTGTTATATATTTGTTTGCATTTATGTTTGAATTTGTTGCTATGGTTTATGGGCTTTCCTTATAATACATAAATTAACTAACATAATTTTCATTTCATTTCATTTTGTGAAGCCTTATGAAACATACGTCATTCATACAGACCAACACATATCATTTTTCCTTTATTTAACATATATTGCAAACTGTATACTGTTAAAATATAATAGTGAAGTATAATATATTTGATGAGTGCAATTTTTAATTTTGTTACTAATACACTAATCATAACAGAGGAACCAGGCCCGACCCAGCAGGAAACACAGGGTACAGTACCTCCTACTACAGATCATCATACAACTCTCGTGGAGGATCCTGATGTCTGGAGGCCTACATAAATCATCAAACATTCATTGCACCACTTCTCTAACCAGGCAATAATATATAAAATTTAATGTCATTCTTACATTTTTTGTAGTTTTCTAGATATCATATAGATTTTTAAATTTGTGATTTTATGATTGTTATGATCAATGTATTTGATGATATTAATTTAATTGATTTATTATTATAACTAAGTTGTCATTTATGTGCAATGGCTTTTTGCATTTGACTAATCTATTTAATTAAGTTTCTATCAAGGAAATTGAATTATTTAACTTAATAATATATTTTTTAGATTCTGTGTAAATTAACATTCATAAATCAATTATGCTGTAGTGTAAGGCTTTATGTGTATGTATGCTTAAGCTTAAAAATATTAGTTTACAATTTTACATAGTTATTATTTATATACAAGTATTCTTTTAATTCCATCAAATTATACATTTAACTTTTAATTTCTGCATTGGAAATAAGTTTGCTTAATTTTGTTTATTCTATTTATTTTTTTTATTATACTTTTATAATTTAATATGCTATAAATTAATAATATGCATGCTATTGCTGTTTTTTTTTTTTTTTACTATACTATGACTATAATTGTTTTATATGTACTTAATTTCAGCTCAAAACTTTTAATTTTAAATACTAATTCTTATACATGGTAGGTCCTTTTAAATATAGTTATAAAATGTATAAAAATACATTATAATATTGAAATACTTAAAATATGTAAAAATGCTATACAATATGTACAATTTCAGTATTTTATGAATGTATTTATGAAATACTCTTAGATTGTATATTTATGTTTCTATTACAATTTTTATTAGCGTTTTTTTATATCTTTAAAACACTTTCTTTTTTATACTTTTTAGGCACATGTTTTTGTAATACAAAATTTATATATATATATATATTTATATTTATATATATATACATAATAATTTTGTTATTTTTGTACATTTATTTTACTTTGAATTTTAATAATTTTTGAATTTTTAGGGCACCTCTAAGTGAAATGATGTCAGAAGCGAAGAATATTGAGGTTCCTTCATCGAGTATGCAAGCTACACTTGTTGAAAATGCTCAACCATTGGGTTTCTCCAATAGACCAGATAGTAACGTTTAAATTTAAAAAATTAATTGGCAAAATAATTCATTTTCTGGTATGAATGGTGATGAATGTTGACTCAGTAAAATAAACAACAACTAAGCCCATGAATATGCATTGTTTGAAACACTTATTTACTTATACTAATATTCTAATATTTCTACATTTTCAGTTTATGGTATTGTAAATTGTCTGTATTATTTATTCTGAAATATAGGTAAAGTAGATAGGTCATTTTTTCATTTACATATCATTTTTAATTTAATTTCTGTTGTGAACATTGGTGTCAATGATAATATTAGTAGTATTAACATAAACTACATATTATTTACTAAACCATTATTGTTGTATGTATAAAAGATACATGATCCCAATTTGTCATTTGAAATAATGCCAAAGTTTAAGACTGCTATAGAAATTATATTTTGAATTTATTCATGGGTTTGGTTTTTTATGGTCTTACTTGTTTTTGTGTGTCATAAAGCTGCAATAATGAAATCTGCAATGAGAAAGATAATCCTACGTCAATTGATTTTGGATGTAGTTATCTGTTTAAATTTTATGTTTTAAGGTAATGAGTTGTAATATCTTAAACTAAAATAACACTTCCAAAATCAAAATCCCAAGATTTTGAGATAGGTCATATATAAGTTATAGAAGGTGTACGAGTCATAACATGTTAGCTTTATTTTTACTTATTGCGTATACATATATGTTTGAAGTAAGTCATATAGTTAGAAAACTCTTCTATTCCTTCATAGTTCAGGATAAAAAACTAATTTAAAAGGAAGTAAAATTATTTAAAGTAAATAAGTAAAATTTTACTTATAATCTTTCTTCAAATTTCGCCATTGTAAGGTATATAATGCGATTTTAATAGATGAATTTTATGGAATTGATATTTAAATTAGTCGGGAATTGATTTATAACAAAGGTAAAATATATAATTTTAAAACTATAGGTACGTTCGCACCTTTCTGATGAATGAATATTGCATTTAACATGAAAACACGGTTTCAGAAGTATAGATCATGCAATTTTTCTTTTTATTTTGAACGAAAAAGAAGTATGAATATTTCTAATTATATGAATTACTGTATATATTTTTCTCTCTGCCAAATTATTTGTATATATATATGAACACATTCATAAATTTAAAAATATTTGTAGTCACTTTATTCAATATTTACATTTATATGGTATCTCCTTGCATTTATTGAGTGTAACACTTCTAAACTCAATTTTTGTACTTTAAATTTATTCTTCTACTTTTGTAGTTAAATGCGAGTAATGTATGGCAGAGAGAATCATTAATCAGTTGTACTGATATATTTTATCATATGCAATGTAGTTTTTGTTCAAAATTATTAAATTGTGAATATATAATATTTTAATTATTTTCATATGTATATCAGGTTACATACGTTCAAAATTGTTTTAGTCAAAACCAAATGTATTAATGACTCATACTTCTTTTCATAGATTTTTTAATTTTTTCTCCCATAAATCGACATCATGTATTTTTAATCGAATAAGCATTTATTTCTTAATCGAAATTGTCAAATTACTCGACCATTATCTATCCCTACATTCCTATTTTTTAAATAATTTATTTATTAAGGATGTAAGACATTAGGAATTAATGATGAACTGACGTTTTTTTTAAATCTTCGATGATTTTCGTGTTGCGTTTGCCAAATGAATTCAGCTTAAATGCCACTTTTGGGCGCGTGTAGATCATTGTATCTGTATAGTTTGTACTATAACGTTACTGTTTATTGTGATTTTCGCGTTGCATTTTATTGTGATTGTTTATTATTAAGCAAATTATTAGCCATTTATGTTCGTATATAATAAATAGTATATTATATTATATGTAATATTAATTAGCATGCATAAAAAGTAATAGGAGCATGTATGTAACTTGATTATATTGCATGTAGTTTCTGTACAGATATGCATTGAACATTTTTGAATTTCATATTTTATTATTTATGGTTATTTCAAAATTATAAAATGCTTCTTTTAAATCCAAATTACATATTTTGATAAATATAAAAAAAGTCTGACTGTATTGTTACTTTGATATTACTGATGATACTTTAATAACATTGTCAGTGTCAAATATCTGTATGTAATATTTAGTAGTAAAGTGAACGATGTAAAGAGTGTATGATATTAGTGAAAGATCAAAATAGAAACAAATATTAGGATCCTTTTTTATTTTATTCTATTTAAATTAGATAAATTTTAAGGAACATCTTGTTTCCTACTCAGTACAAGATGATACTTGAGCAAATTCAATGTGAAGAAAATAGTATAGAAAAAGATGTTAAAATAAATTTTCAAACAAATAATGTATAAAATATATGACAAGTTGCATATGGCATTTTACTGCTGTTATAAGTAGAAACCAGAATATATTTATAACAATTTTCTGTCACAAGAAAATGTGGTTCAAAAGTACATGTCACATGCGTTTCTGACCAATTATTATTGAAGTGAATTAAACACTTGTAGTGTGAATTCATATATAATTTGCTATAGATTAGTAAATTATAAATAAATTCTAAGAGTATACATTGTCTTCGAAATATACCAAAATATATACATACATATGTAGTTGTTCAACTTCCATTGAATAGAAAATCAGTTGAAATATTTATTAATATGCTTAATGCACTATCATAATTTCAAGCTAATTTGAAATGTACACACAGAGAAAAATAGATTTATTTTAAACATATCTTGATTTAGTTAAAAATATCCTGTGAAATATGTTTAATTTTGTGAGTAAAAATTTATAAATAAAAGATTCAAATATATGATTAAGTACGTATTATATTAATAATTAAAAGAACAAATTATTGGTTTGATTAATTGTTCCTGTGTAGCAAAATTGTCAATAAATACTCAAATTATATTCACAATATGTGAATAATTCTTAATGAAGTAGAATTTTGATAAATTTAATTTTATATGAATCAAAATATTAAATGTGATAACTTTGTGATTCAATTTTTTAAGTTTTATCTTTATATTTGTTTCGATAAGTTTTTATTTCTATTTATAAATTCATAAGTTTAAATGATACTTTTATAAAATTGGTACTATTTATATTGATTGTTCACAAATATTTCAATCAATTACAAAAAGATCCTAAGAGATATTAAGTGATTGATGAATCTATTGAAATGTTTATTGTGAGTTAGTTATTTCTCATATATTTTATAGCTTTCAAGTGTACAGTCAATATTATACCTCTTTAATATTTAAGTTATTTATTTATTACATAAAATAATTAGTTAGTAACCAAGAAATTTAAAGAACTTTGATAAGAATTAATGGTATTAATAAATATATAAAAAAATTCGAATTAAACAATAGTAGTATTTTGACAAAGTTTTAAAATAAATAAATAATTTCGTTAATTTAATTAAAACGTGAAACAAAAATTTGATTGAAGTACTTTAATCAATTAAAATTAGAATATTTGAAATTTTATCTTCCTTAATGTTTGTATTTATTCGTTTCAAGTACTCATATTTTACAGAGAATTACAATTGAAATTACAATTCCTATAATTATGTTTTAATAATTAAAGTAAATAAGTCATGTAATAACATTTTATTTCGACAAATATACTTTTTGATGCTTTTCGGTATTAGTAAATAAAGGATAATAAATTTGATTGTTTTCTTTACACAAATTTTTAATAATTAATTTTATATTTAAATTTAATTATGCATGTATTAGTTGTAATTTTAGTATATTGTATTCAAATAGAGTTAACCCTCCTGTAATACAGCTAATTCGTTTCGTGTTGTATAGATACTGTTTCCAGAATGTACTACATAAAAGAGGGCGTTGCTTGAAACTTGAAATTATTATAAAACTCCAGGAATGTATTCCGAGTATTTTTAATGATTGTAAAAAGTTTATACATGAAACAAAAATAAAATAAACTTGTTCAACAATGTATTCAACATTGATGGTTGTCCAAGTTTAAGAAGTTCTACTACATGAAAACTGTTTTATAAAAGTATCGTGTTATAGGAGGACTATTTTTGCATTATATTATATTGAAACTGTATTTTTGAAATATAGCAGGGATTTTTTTTATATAGTTTTTTAAATACTAGAATTATCGACCAGTAACGTATAGATTGTAATAAACACAGATTACAAATTATATAATAAATCTTTCATAAATTTTAAGTGCCAATAATTTTGTGCATGATTTTAAATGTGATTTTAATTTTGTGTTAAGACATTCATTAATTTCTGGATTTTCTTCATAGATTTTGTCTGCGTTTAGTTTGTGTTATTTTATTATTTTTTGTTATGATTTATGAGTAAACAAAAAAAGGATAATTAAATATATTTACAATATTATAAAATTTAAACAAAAATATTAATTTTTTCATTTGAAAAAAATTTACGGAAAGTACGATTAAAAGTATTAAATATGTAGAAGGGAAATGATATTTTTTTTAAATATCTTTTTTTAATGCAGAGAGAACTCGCAAATAAATAATAGCAAAAAAATAATATTAAATAATTACTTTTATTTGTACATATTAAACATGGAAATAAATTACGAAGAAGTTATTCAAACTAAATGAAAGAAACGATTATGTTAATATCTTATTAGAATATACAATTATTAAATGTTTATTAATTAAGCTAAAATTATTTATCTTATTGTGCTTACTAAATATCGTTTAGAGTAATACAAACACGGATAGTATTATTCCCGCAAAAGATTTGAAACTGAAACCTTCTTTTCTTATATAATGTTCATTTGTAATAGGAAAAGACACGATTTAATTTCTTTTCACAAGTGTAATCGATATTCTGCCAGTAAATCTATATAAATTTTGATCACAGTCGGAATTTCATTTCAGCAATCCAAACGGGATCTGTCTTTTATCCTAATATTTCATAAAAGATCGTATTTTCATTACATGAAGTTAATTTTATTACAAACGATTAATTCGTTATAAAGCCAGACATCAATTATACGTGTTATATTTTGTTATCAGTCACATTTCTCGTTCGATTACGAACTATTTTCTGCAACGTTTAAACGAAGAAAAAACATAGAGAAGAAAATGAAAAGAAAAAAATAAGAAAAAAGAAATACGTATTTCATATTGCACCTTAATGTATGTAATACTATTTAGTCTCGAAACCTCGATATTTCAATATTTGCTTTCATATCGAGTATCTTACTCTATATACATTTGTGGATCTAACTTTGCATTTGGCTTTCCCCTTAAATCCATCGTTTAATCCTATTTAAGTCGTAGTTGCTTAAGGCACGATGCGAATGTATTGTTATACATGTTGTTTTCGGATTTTCTTGACAAACTGCGGCAAGTGGATTGTATCATTTAACGAGGACTAACTTGTTCCTCAATTTTGTCAAATGGTAGACGTTCTGTTATACAGTTAATATCACATTCTTTAAAATAAAAAAAAAAAGAAATTTCATTACATATGTCATGTTAGATTTGATATTTGTCTAAAACTTAATAACAAAATATTTATAGTCAAACTTCATATAAACTTCATATCATTTCTCTTGTTTTCACTTGTAAATTATGCTCTTGCAATTTATCAGGAAATGCTAAAAACTCTGTATAGTATTATTATAATACGTATATACTATATGTTTTATCAGAGAGGAACCTCGGGTGTCCGTTTAATTTCGTAAACATTAACGTGATCGATTAAGTTTATAAAAAGATAGGACGATATTAAAAATATTTTTCTTGTTTTCGATTTCTTTCATTTGAACGACGATCTTTACACGTGTGTTTAACTACATGTGTAAGTTCTGTTGGTAACCTTCGACCTCGTTATACATCTTTCTCACAGCATCCTTCGTATTGTTCGGCAAATAGTTTTGAACAGCCGGTGCAACCTTATTATTCGACACAATTCCATTAGCCAGATGTGCTACACCGTTTTGCAGCATGTGTGTGGCCCCATTTGCGATACCGTTTTGTATTCGAGCAGCACCATTCTTTTGAATCTGTTTCGCATTGTTCTTTAAACCATTTGCTATTCGTGCTGCCCCTGCAAGTGGAAATTCTTTCAATTTTTAATTTTTACATTTTATTTTTATTTTTAATTTTTAAATCTTTTTAATTTTACATTTTATTTTTGTTCTCTTTTTACTGAATTTAGTTTTTATCTTTTGTTTCTTTTTTTCTACGATATCTTTTAGAGACCTTTTTTTAATAAGATAACTGTAACGATTTATGGGATGCAAACATTTTGTTTCATTTTCAAGTAAAATCAAAAATTGTTCATAGGAATAATAAAGAAGATATTATATTTTTATAAAAAAATCTATAAAAAAACACTTTTCAGCACTTTACAAACGATATATAAAAATAAATATTTGCTTTTGTAGTCTACGTTAAAATTCATATTACATTTATAATATAGTATAAAAAAACAGAATATTATTTACCGTGTATGCTTATTCCATTCATAGTCTTTGTGGAATTAATCGCTTTGTCTACGTTCAATTTACCATCAATTATCTGCTTAGAAATACCATTGGTTATTATCGATTGATCCCTGTTGTTAGGAACTACTGAATTTGACTTCATGTTATTTCCATTTTCCTGCATTATTTGTGGTTCAGGACCATGCGGATTATTCTCTTCCTTCCGACGTGTTTGCGTCATTAATTGATAGAGTGCAGCAGCGAATTCTTGTTGCACGCTTGGTACGTCGGTGTCGCCATCAATCTATAGTAAATATTGTTTTGGGTAGGATAATCGATCATTATTTTAAATATTATAATAATAAAGCATATGATATTCGTTTGTATGTCGACTTCTTAACAAGTTATACATGTGGTTTTAAAAATTACCCGTAATTAGATTTTCTTATGTTAAAATATTTATAATACTCAAAATGCTTAGAAGAAAATAAGCAACAAGACCTCTCATTTAAGAAGATTATGGGCGGAGATAAAGTACGTAAGAAAAAGCTTTATTCTTTCGAATATTAATACATATTACTTTATGTATCTATAATCACTTTTTGCACAAATTTACTTTTTCTATTTTCCTAAGTTCTTCGAATAATTTACCAAATTTTTTAATGTTGATTTACTATTAAATGTTAATATAGACATTTGTCAAATAAATGGTTAAAACCGTGTTATTCGTAATTTTAGTTTATACAAAATATGGTAAACAGCAGGCCTGAGAAACATCTTTACTTTCGTTTCTACTTGGCAATCGGTTCACCCACCATTAGCTTATTCTTTGCTACTACTGCTTTTCTTATCATGGCAATGCTCGGACACACGTAAATATATATGTACACTCCCCCACTCCTGCTTAACTTGACGTATACGTGAGTGAGGTGTAGGCGGTGAGGGAAGCCTGCATGAGGCGAGTAGAAATTATGTGGCCCGCGAGCCACTAGTTCCCCAGTTCTGGCATAGAATATTGTTCGAGAGTTATCGTAATTTTTCATCATATTATTTTATCATGTAATACATATGTTGTATTATTTGAGGAAGTTGCTAATATCATGTATATTAAAAGCGAAGAAACTTTTTTATTGGAATACTTACAATGGTTAAGCGATTTTCGTTGTCCAGTGCTTTTAACATAGGCAGAGATACTTCGCGAAAGAGTTCTAGCCTCTTCCTAAATGCAGAGACATTATCGTCTAGTCGTCCTCTACCAAGTTGTAATTTCGAGCAATCTAGTAGCACTAATGGTGGCTGCTGACCGAACTAAAAAATTTAAAAAGTTTACGTTGCATAAGTTCAGTCATTAACTTCGTAGACAGAAATTTTAGAAATATTTATTATAATTAAAACCAAATTATAATTATCGCGTTAGATATTTTTATTAAATTTTAATAATTTTAAAAGATTCTTTTATCGGTAATATCATTTATTTTAATCATTACCTGTTTAAATTAAATAAATTGGAATAAATTTAATAAATTTCAAATAAATCGCGACTTATTATTCAATTATTATCTAACATTTTTATTACGATTCTAATCATAATAAATATAAAACTTTATAAAGAAAACGAAGTTACTCATACTAATAGAAATATCAAATGTGCATTTTTCAAGTTGTTTATAACATTTTTCGAATTATATACGATTCAGTTTAAATTACCTTATTTTCAAATTCTTGCACTTGATTTAAATCCCTTGGATATCCATCTATTATTACGCCATCCGTGTCGCGATTTAGCATGATCTGTTGTTCCACTACTTGCATCACGATGTCTTGTGGGACCATCTCTCCAGAGACAATAGCTTCCTTGACGATGGTATTTAACGATGCCATTGTTCTGAGCACTCCACCGATACTAACTTGAACCCAACCTGGCATGTTGTGGATAGCCTGAGCACACAGATTTTCTTTGTTGCTTCCTGGGCCACCTAATAAAATTAGATCATCAAGATTATAATACTAGACGATACAAAAGAGCCTATGTTAACTCTTATATTAACCCTTTCACAAATACGATATTACAAAACGATACAAATATATATATACGATATTTGCAATGTATTTATTACAGATACGAACTGTGGTGGCGCTAGTGTATTAAATGAAAAATCATCGGAACGTTTATTCGTGAAAGGGTTAATATCCGGGTACCTATTCGCATAGGATGTACAAAAATTAATTGTTATGGCCATTACGGCCGGATTCTACGCCACTGGCTTGGTGAAGATTTGTTAAAGAATATAGGCACGAAATTGTTCTTGAGTACAGGTCAAACCTTTTTTTACTGCACCGTACTTAATTCGCCATGTTTATGATAATGGAACAAAAAATTTTGTTTTTTTGTTTTGATACAGTAATGTAAATAAATTAACAGTGCTTTGAATATTTGATTAACAATATTGACTAAGTTTTTGAATTCGTTCCGTTTATCAATGCTAATGTAATTTACTTGGTAAACAACCCTTTGCGTTCATAAATATTTCTTTATCTGTTTATATGGATAAATAATTATCTACTTGTATTATTTATTTATTTATATTTACAGATATTTGTAGTTTTTCTTTTTTTGAAACAAAATCTATGATTTCTAGAAGCTTCCCACTGTAGAGGTATATACATTGGAGTTGCTGATCAAAGTATTCTCAGAGTGCAAAGGCTTGAATAATCGCATTAGATACTCATACTTAGATAATCATGTTTAATGTTATCATAGCACTTAATAATGTAACACTGTATTAATTTTAACTGTCTTTTATTTTACCTATAACCCAGATAAACACAGGTAATCCTTTTCTATGTTTATTTGCGGTTTTCATGGGCTTCACATTCACTGTGACAGGAATTTGCGACGTCCCCTTCACTTCCTTCGTAGGAGACGGTGATTTTGGAATAGATTCTTTTCTCCTTTCGACTTCCACCTGTAATTCGATCATTTTACGCTGAACAATCCGAATGTTAGTTACCGCAAACATTAATTATTTATTTTCCTAGCTTTAAATTTAAAAATGTTCGAGGAAGATAAAATTTTCGATATCTCGTATCTTAAGAAGATATATACGATATGATATTCAGCAATGGATAGAGAATTCGAAAACTGAGAGCAAATGAGAAAACTGAAATTCAAAATATAATTTCAGTTCATGAGACTCACGACTATTAACTGCCATTTTTATATAATACAGTTAATACTTGATGTCATATATGTTTCGTTTTGAAAAAATAAAAGCTTCGTGTTTTAAATGTAGTATAAATTAACAAAATTAATTACGATAAAGCTACAAACGAGAATGTTAAGAACAGGCCGTTTTTGGCATCGCCTGGAAATGAAAAATTTCTTCGGGACCTTTAACCCCTTGGCTACTGTGGGCGCATATAAGCGCTCAACACAGTTTGCTTTTGTGACACGGAGGGCGCATATAAGCGCTCAACACAGTTTGCTTTTCTGACACGGAGGGCACATCTCTACCCAAAATTTTGCCGTTCTCGGCGGACATTGTAAATGAATTTCTACCCGTGTGGTACGACCGGTGCGTTTCAAAGTCTGCCGTAGTCAAAGGGTTAATAGCATCTTGTAAAGAAACAAAAATTCCTTTACTTCTTTGCCGAGAAACGATGGGAAAGTTGTGAGAAATGAGTCGAAACACGTGAAAATGAGATTGATTAAATACAGGGTGTCCCGAAAACGATAGTAGAACCGAGGAGGGGGTGATTTTACGTGAATACAGAATAAAATTTCTTTATTTGAAGCTTAGTTGTCGAGAAAATCGACTTTGAATATCCACCGAATACGCTGATATACTGATGGTCCATCCGTCTTACCGTTGTTAGTCAAAGTTTAGTACACGTGTACTCGGTAAATATTCAAAGTCGATTTTCTCGAAAACGAAGCTACGTATCAAAAAATTTGATACTTTTTTTTCGATTTTTTTTTTCATGTAGACCACTTCCGTAATATACTTTCATAACAGTGGTTTTCAAATTTTTGGTTTGTATTCGTATATCCTCTGTTTGACTATTCCCTTGTCTTCTGTATATCACAAAGAGTTCTTTCCGTTTAAACAAATAAACCATTATAATTATTATTATAATTATTGTAGAATATATTAAAAAAAACACGTTGTTGTCTTCCTCATAAGTCATAAATATTAGGAGTGAATCTAAACGTTTGTGCTATAATGCATATATTTAATAAATCTAATAAATTAAAGGATTGATTCGATAATTAAGAAAGCATGTACATAGCCGACCAAAAATTTTGAATTACCACGTGTACCATAGAAATAAAGAATTGACAAAAGAAGTTACCAAGGAATCTTGTTACTTCGAAAAACTCTTCGGATAATCCTATAGAAGCGAAGAAGGTTGTTATCGACAACAGTCGTATCAATTTTAAATTAATTCTAAAATTAACAGAAGATTCGATACACTTGCGAGTGGAAAAGTGTTTCTAACTTTTTGGTCGACAATTTATATCATTGATTTAAAGAAACGTACTTCTGCTTCTAATGCTTGAGGAACATTCTTTCCTTGCGCATCACCGCTCGACAAGCCAAGAATTTTGAAAACAGCCTCACGAAAATCGATGTAAACTTCACTTGGATTTCTTTCCCCGTTAACCTGTAATTAACATAAGCAATAATTGGTTAATCTCGTAGTAATAAGTAGATTTATAAGAAAGATCGTTCTTTCTGTTTTTTGAAGTTGTCAATGGTAGTGATTAAGTATGATGATCCTCTAACTTTCTGATACTTTATTAATTCCTTTTACATAACAATCTTCTTTTTCTTCATTGAAATAGTTTCATAATTAATTAATTAAATATTTCTGCTTAGGATCTGGAAAATAGGGATCAAGGTGGATCGAAAGGGATGATATTAGGTGATCTTGAAATCTAGAATTCTCTGTTAAAAATGGTACGTATAATATTTTTCCTCACAAGAATGTTACCTCTTTTCTTTTATTCTTTTTGCATATACAGTGACTCATATATTCTTTCACATGGTTTTAAATTCTAAGAACTATCGTATTATTTTCTGTTTTAGGACTTCAGCTGTAACAATGAGTTTCTTTAAATATTTCTCATCTTTTATTGCATTCAGTCGACAAATGACAAAATTTTCATTTGTGCTTTTCATAAAAGTGACATGAGAACGTGTAAATGAATTTTTGGGTCACTGTAAACTTTAGCAGCCTTATTATGCAATTAGCCATAAAAATATTCAGGCACTTATATTCTGTACTTTAAATAAAAAGTGAAGACAGAACAGTGAGCATGAAAAGTGCATTATATCATGTTAGTTACTAAAAAGCGACAAAAGATATTGAGAAGATACAAAGTAAATACAAAAGTAGTTTCTTTATAGCTATTTTTGTGCCCTAAAAAGTATAGTGAAAGAGATTGTGGGTATTCTATCTTCTGTACTTTTGGAGATATTTTACCTGAGAGATTAAAGTATAACATCTTGTATGTATCATGTTTCTATTTTGATTAAGATACTAAAGATCAATACTATAATATTTTCTCCAAATGTTACATGCTTTCAGTAACTATAAAAATAAGTTGTTTTGACTGCTTTAGTAGTTGCAATGCTAAATAAATGAAGTAGTAAGGTCAAAATGGTAATCTTAGTAATAAATAAACAAATATATCAAATGAAAATCTTATTACAATTTGTTAGCACGTTTCACTCACTGATAACTTCATTATCAAACACTTAGTAGTAATTATAGTGACTCCCATTAACTCTTTGTACAAACAACGTTGAAAAGCACGACAAACACGTTTTAATCCTTATAAACGCTTATGTAAACATAGGAAAAAGGCGAGAGAATTATACTGCAAATCTAATGCTTGGCTATTGGTATGCTTCGAACTTATTTTATTTATCTGAATGCTTGTTTCGATAAGTATTTCAAAAGATTTACTTCCTCACCTCTATTAGCATTCCACTTTGGTCGAAATATTCTGCCACGGGCATAACGTTCCTATAAAAATTATAAAGCTCCATCCTCGCCAGCTCGATCACCACCTGTCCAAGCTGTGCTCCAAAATCGATCTGTCTTTCGAGTATCTCTTGCCTCCAGGACACGAGAATCACACCATTTACTATTTTGATCTGTAAATTTGTTGAACATTTCAATCTCTCTATGATACGAAAAAATCATTCGTTTATTCAACACAATAGCTCTCGGTATTATGAGGAAACGTGGGATTATAGATTATTATAGCGAGAATGTGGCATATCATAAAATGTAATCTACACGCATGATACACATTTCAAGGATTCTTTTACATAATAATTTATGAATGATAGTATTAATAGTAGATGTTAGTGACTATTAGTCGAGACCTCCTGCAACAACAAATAGATTACACTATCACAACAGGTTTATTGCAAATAAAACTTCAGCTGGGAGGATCAATCAAAGAGGATGTTATAATTTGGTGATTGATCTGTGTCCTCTACGAGCTTCGTGCATGTTTCAACTTTAGGTCAATGGAACAGGTCAGTAGGTCACAGAGGAAAAGTTACACAAGGTTTGTTTAGATATCTTATTTAACAATTTGATTCGGACCAAATTACTTTTTCGTCGTTAGGATAGTAGTCTTGGATTAAGAAAGCCTAAAATTTGGACAGGACAATTATGTTAATCTCTGATATAGATAGATATTGTTATGATATTTTCATTTTAATTTCCTGGCAGTGGCATTTTGGTTTCTTGTCATTAAATTATTGCATACACTGTATATAATCGTATTGCATATAGGCTGATACATAAATATATGTTCCAAGGAACAAATCTACTTCCTAAAGTAAATAAACAATCTCACGTGGGTATATCTTCTGTATCTTTTATAATCTCAGTTTTTGAGTTATGGATGATTAAATATATAGTATACACAGTCTATGATAATTAAAGTAATATAATGCAAATAAATAAGTACATTGTAAGTTTGTATTTCAATAGAAGTTACCTTGGTAGTTATCTTGGTAGTCCTAGTATTAAAAAGATTGTTCTTCTGATTTCAAGTTATTGGATTATTATATTTAAGGTTATTTGAAACCTATACCCTAATCAATGCAAGTGAACTGGAATAGAAAATATAATGGAATAAAACTGGATGTCAGCTCTGAAGTATAGTCATGTATTTATGAATCATCCTGTATATGAAATATACGACTATATAAAGAATAGGACCTTTCAGAATTTTGTGGTTAAATGTGGTGATAAATAACATTTATTATACAAAATGAGCCTGAAATTGCTAAACTCGAAATATAAATTTCGAATTTTAAATGAAGAAAAAAAAAAGGAAATAAAAGAAAAATTTTCTTCTGGTAGCTTTGATAATTCACAATATTCGCAAATACTCGTTCAAGAGATGTTCTAAAGCTAATTGAATATTAATATAATTATTATTATATTAACATATTATATTATTATATTATATTACTTACTTTTTCGGCATATTCGACTACATCGCGCATATTACGTGGATAACCACTAACAAGAAAGACTTTGGAACCTGGAGACATTTTGATTTCGAGCATAAGAACTTCTGCCACAGTTTTACTGCTAAGTTGTCCAAAATCTTGCATATCTATAGCAAAAGTAAAGTAATATTAACATAAAAAACATGCACGAAAGTAAAGAAAAGTTTAAATTTAATTAAGTAGAAGATTATTTTGGTTGTAATAGTACATGAATAAATTCTAGCTAGCTGCTACTAAGCGATGAATTTTAAATACTAATAAATGTTAATATATAATAAAATTGTAGAAATTTACTTTCATTTGTGATGAGATTACTAACTTAAGATTATCATATCTCGATAAATTGAAATTCATATAATAAATGATTTTTCACGAGTCAGGTAGTGTATCCATTTTAAAACTTATTTAATAATTTTTATATTACTAATATTCATTAATTCAATTAAATAATAATTTCTCGCTTGACAATTTTTTAATGTGTGGTTTTTACGGCTTCGTACCATTTCCTAAAGCATACTGTTGCAGAAGATCCATCATGTTGATATGCGTTATGCCCTTTTTCTCTTGCATCAAATTATCACAATGTGTCACCTTTCCGCTACCTGGTCCACCTGAAACAGATAAGAAGTTATACAGTAATGTAAAAAAGGACAAATGCCTAATATCAATTATTATAAATAAATATGTATTTATGTAATATGGAAAATTCACGATAATAATCGAAACTGACAATAAGAATTTTTTTGAAAACAATCCATTAATATTGTCATCTTTTTAAAGCATAAAAATTTTAAACTTTTTATAGACATATACAAATATTTTATAACGTATATAAAATATATAACAACTTTTTTAAATGTATAGTGTAAATATATATAAAATTTATAAAAATTTTTTTCTATATCAAATTAGAATACAATGATAATTTTCTTTTCGTGATTTTCCAAAAACACGTTTATGGACGATATACATATTTTATATTAAAGAATACTGTCCATTTTACAATACAAATTAACCCTTTTAGTTCTGAATATTTTTAAAAAATAATGATTAAATATTTAGAAGTTTGAGCAAATATTTATTAAAATAATTTTGTAAAACACATACTAGGTATTGCAGAAGTAATCATACAAATTTTATTACATTATTTAGACTAAAATGAATTGCAGCCTAAATACTTTGTTAAATATTTTTCTATTTTTGAGCATTTCATTTATTCTATAGATTTCTCTGCTCGTAATAAAATTCGTATATGGAATAAAGTAAAATTGGTTAAAATCTATAATTCTACTGTTTTTATTCGATACTGTCCTTTATAGAATAGGTGTGTGAATTCTCACCTCGTTCAAAGTAAAGTGTCACCGTGTAAAGAAATCGTACACCAATTGTTAACCCATTTGCATCCAAGCGCGGAATATTCCGCGAGCTACGACAGTCGTCTATCACCGAGCGCGGAATATTCCGCGAGTTACGACTGTCGTCTATCACCGAGCGCGGAATATTCCGCGAGCTACGACTGTCGTTTATCACCGAGCGCGGAATAATCCGCGAGCTGACTTTTTCCATTACCAGTTGCTGAATATTTTTCATATGCCACAGATCACGTTTGATCCCTTTTGTGAGCATCTCATCTACATCGGTTCATTATATTCTTAACAAGTTTTACTTTTGTTGTGAAAATCCTTTTAACTGCCATTATGAGTAGGTGCTGATACGCGCGCGGTGATACGGGCTAGTCGTCAGTTGAACGTCGCTGATGCCTGAACACGGCACCTTAAGTAGAGCCA